CTGTATGGAGATTTACTGAGCTCCTAAAGGAAGACACAGGCATTTTAAAAGCTTTCTTACTATCTTAAGTCACTCCTCATCCAGAATGGGATTCTCTGCTATTCATATCCCCTTATTGTTACAGTGAGACAGACTATAAATATTTTGCTTGCTATGTCCTGGGCTCAGAACCCATTTCTTCTTTTCCTGACTTCCCTTCCTGTCTCCATCCCATTTCCTCTCCCCACCCCCATCTCTTGTCAGGTTTATTTTTTTCTTAGATCGCACATTTGTAGCACAGAGTTTAAAGTGACAGAAATAGAAAGGTGATGGACCGAAGGAAAAAAGGTTGACCAACTTTCAGCTGAACAGCAAATCTTTTCATATAGAAACCTTTCCCTTCTTTGTGCTGTTCCATGAACAGGGAAGTATGACTTTGCTCTAAACAAAGTAACAAAAAAATTCCCAAGTTCTTTTTGATTTACAGCACTCTGCTTATGTTCAGTAAGGGTATCGGGTAGTTTATCCCATTAAACCACTTGGGTCAAATCAGCAATGCTTCTTTTCCTTGCCTTTTCCATTACGTTTTTAATCTTAAAAACACAAATACCCCCTATGAAAAATAATGAACAGCTATTCTCATTTATGGATTTTAAAGGAATGATATAACTTTCCAATACTGAAGGAGTTGTAGCAACAAAAACAGCAGCTGTGCTACCAATTCTTGCTAAAACAAGTCTATTCTATTAAGACCTGATGGAGCTTTCAGGCGTCCTTTTCAACTAGCAGGACTTCTAATTTGTGCAACCTTGTTGCAATTTTATGCAAAATCTCAGCATTATTGCCCACATTTTAATATTTTGGCCTTGCTTTCTCTCAGTTTATAGATTAAAACTCAGGCTCACACTCGCCAAGGTTGACTGAGAAGTAACATCTCATTCTTGAATCGTATTAAATCTTTGGTTCACAAAGCCATTAGGCTTAGTTTAAAAGCCACATGCAGGCCTTAAAATGATGTTATGCATGCTTATTAATCAAGCTTTCTGGTTTATACGCTTAATCATATGAACATAGCCTATTGTCAGGCTTTTCCCATAATGTAAATTCTAGTAACCTGAGCCATATGACCAGGGGTGTCAAACTGCCGGCCTATGGGCCAGTTCCATCATACGGAGGCCGCGTCCACCCGAGCTCCAGCAATGCAAAAAAAGTCATGATATGTCGTGACACGTCACGTGACGCAGCGAGTTTGACACCCGTGCATATGACCATTGTTTGGAGGATAATGGGATCTATAACTTAACAACAATTTGTGGGTGCTGCTAATAGAGAATATGGATGATTTCAAACTTTACGGGGTGGACCTCCTTTTTTCAAGGATTCCCCAGAAATAAATATAATAGGCTGACCTAGTCAGGATAACATTCTAGTCTGTAGGGTCTACCAAGAACTTCAGCCTGCCTCTAGGAAATAGACTGCTTTCTAAAGAACTACTTGTATATTCAATATTTTGCTCACTGATCTACATTGTAGAGTTGTTAACGACTACTGAAATAAAGCATGGAATATTCTGAATATTCTAAAACAGCATCAAAATGTTAAATTACAGTTATTTGAGATCATCCATCCAAAATTTGAAAGTGCAGCTAGGAACACTTGAAAAAAATATTTGGAAAATTTGCTTTGAGCCTCATACATAAGCATACAGTATCATCTCTCTGTACTTCATTAATGCAGCCCATGCTTTTTCAAACTTCTGTTCAGTGAGACTGAATAAAAAAATGCTGCTGCTTAAAGCTTGACCAGGTCCACACATTGTTCTAAACCCAATGTAGGCTGTTTGGTTTTAACTTAGAGGGTTGAGCAAATCCAATCACTATTTGTAACATGGCTTATGGTTTAGTGCAATATCTGAACAAGCCAGCCAATCTGACTGATTCAACAAATTAAGAAATCCAGGCCTAGTACAATGTCTTTTATTTAAGGTTGGAAATAGACCTAGATAACTTTTAGATTTTATTTTTTTCAAACTTGGGTGATCAAATTACCTACTGTGTGACTTTGTCCAAGCACATAACTGCTGGTAACCTGAAACCAACATAGCATCTGGCAGGAAAGCATAACTCAATGAACTTGTCACCTTTTCTGTACTCCATCTGAAGATGGTCACCAGAGCAGGTTTTTTATGGCTTCTACACTATTCCAGTTTTCTCCTGGCCAGCATTTTGCATTCTATTTATTCTGACAAGGACTCTTGGAAAATTAAAAAGTTGCTGATTATCTTGACATTTTCGTTGGTCCCACTGAGGATTCTGATTGATCACACGTTCTCCAAGAATTTAAACTGCTACTTATTACTTAACAATAGATATTTGTATGATTTCAGCAAATTATGTCCTAGTTTTAAACCAGACATGCTTTAATCCCAGCGAGAAGAGTGGTGGTTATCTGGATATGAGAGGTCTGGATTCAAATCCCCCTTCATTTACTGGGTGACTTAATGCCTGTCATTTAGTCTTAGCCTAATCTGCCTTACAGGGTGGCTGCAAAGACTAAATGAGGGAGTTATAAATGTCATTTTGGGGGCCTCTGAAGGATACAGGTCACAGGGATTTTGGAGTTGTTCTGGAATGTTTTGTTTTTCCTACTTTTAACCAAGGGAGAATTCTAACATTTCAAAGAGTTGGGACAGGCCTGAATTACTTGCTAGTTGCTTTGTTATCCTGATGATAGTGCCATACAGAACTCCTTCTGTTATAAACACAGACACTTGGATGATGGCCAGGATAGCTGACAGAAATTATCAGGCTGATCAGTAAAGCACAAAGGGAAGATTAAACACCAAAGCCATAAATGGCTTGTAAGAGTGGGTGCTATGTTCAGCATGAAGCCATTTTCTAATCCAGCAAGCCAGATATTCCTGGGAAGGCAGATAAAACCCATCAAAAGGCAAGCTAGGTGGCTAGCAGTTCCATCGCTGCAGGTACTTCAAAGGAGCTGGCGATAGCTTCTGCAGACAGATACCGGTAGCAAATACGGTCTGGTTCTGTCCAGTAGAGACTGGAATATCAGATGTTGCCTGGTTTCAGGTTGTTCTTTCATATAGTTTCTATATCTGATGTTTTGGCCATGTCAGATTTAATCGTCCAAATGTCTATCCTAAAACTGCAAGAAATAAATTAACAGACTACAAAGACAGTCGCAATTTTTCATTAGTGAATATGCAGTCTTATTAGACATTGTTCAGCTGAAAAGCTTTTCTTATTTCATTTGTAAACTGCTTTACTCTTTGATATGTGCTTCATACAGAGGCTGTGTTTTCTGTGGGAACTGCACAAAGACATTTCTTTGGGGACTGGGCGTAAGCTGGGATTGGAGCATTTTAGATGCAATGGCAGAGATTTAGATCAGTTACAATGAATTCCTAATAATCTCTTTTTTGTTGTTTTTTAAGTTGATAGAAGGCTTTAATTCAGGTTTGCTTTTTTTAGAAAAAATATCTACAGGTAATCCTCGACTTACAGTTTGTTTAGGGACCATTCAAAGTTACGACAGTACTGAAAAAAGTGACTTAACGACCATTTTTCATGCTTATGACCATTTGCAGCATCCTCACGGCCATTCAGGCGCTTGACAACTGATTCATATTTATGATGGTTGCCATGTCCTGGGGTCATGTGACCAACTTTTGGGACCTTCCAACAAGCAGAGTCAATGGGGAAGCCAAATTCACTTAACAACCGCGTTACTAATTTAACAGCTGCAGCGATTCACTTAACAAATGTGGCAAGAAAAGTCGTAAAATGGGGCAAAACTCACATAACAAATTTCTCACTTAGTAACAAATTCTGGACTCAACTGTGGCCGTCCATGGAGGACTACCTGTATTTTAGTATACGTATATAGTATCCTTAGTGTTATAAATTATAAATTATTTATCAATTTCTTTTGAAACTCGGGAACTCTTGATTTTAGTCTACAGTTTGGCAAATTCCCAAATATTTTTCAAGTGTTTGGATCTTCTAGAAATATCCCATGGATCTAAAGTTTCAACAATTCACCACCAATGATCTCTGCAGACCAAAGAATGACTTAATTATTTCCCCCCCTCTTTTTTTTTTTCCTCACATGCTTCTCTCTGAGATGTTTGCTGGGAGTCCAACACCTTGGCTGCGTTCTTGCCCGCTCTGCCCCCACCACCTTAGTTTTCAAAGCCTTTCAGGGAGCCAAACAGAATAATGTTCAACTTCCTTAATAAAAAGCTTGTTTACGTATATGTATGAACACACCACGTCTTTGCATTGACAAACTTTTCTTAATATGCTACTATCCTAATGTCACAGAATGTCCTAAAGTCAATGATGGTTTGTTTTGGGGAAAAACAAAACAAAAACGTGTTTAGATCACTTGGCTGCTGAAACTGAAAAAAGTTCATAATTGTGAAACCGAGTCTTTAGGCAAGGGTGATCAGGTTAGCAGGGTGTCTGGGAACCCTGGTATTTGGATTATCACTCCATGCCACCCACCCAGCGTTTCTGCTTGTCTTAAGCCACATTCCTTTCCTTGCTCTGAGGAGCTTAGGGTGAGAGCACATGTAGAGAGTGTTGCTGAAGGGGAGGATCCAAGTGGCAGATGGAGCTGCCCAGCACCACAGGGGTCAATCCATCCAATTCACATAAGGATGTTGAGTGAAAGCAAGGGGAGGACTGGGGGAAGGGGGCTGGGATATACAAAGATTTTAAGACAAGTCAAAAGGAAGCTACTACTACAGTAGGAGTGAGTGGGTATGTGAGAGAGATGACACAGACTGAGGAAGGCACTGGCCAGATCTGTCTACAGCTTTGAAAAGAAGGAGGTAACAGAAAGACACAAATGAGCTGAGAGACCCAGCAATTATTTTTTTTTTTTTGGTCTTCCTTCTACACAAGAACTTTGCCAAGATTTATCCTGCTGAGTGATCTGGAAATAAATAATAAAAAAAAGGAACTGCTTCAGAGCACATTCTTCTCTTCTTCCAGCAGAAATGGAATTTGGCAACGATACTGATAATAACTCAAGCAACTATGAATGCGACTACGATGACTGGAGTTCTTCCAAAATCCTAATTCCTTCCATCTATTTGCTTGTTTTCTTTCTGGGCACCACTGGCAACGGTTTGGTGCTATGGACTGTTTTCCGAGGAGGACAAGAAAAGCGACGCTCAGCAGATACATTCATTGCAAACCTGGCAATAGCTGACCTGACTTTTGTGGTCACTTTGCCACTTTGGGCTACCTATGTGGTCCTGGACTACCATTGGTCTTTTGGCTCTTTTGCCTGCAAACTCAGCAGCTACCTGGTCTTTGTCAATATGTATGCCAGTGTCTTCTGCCTCACAGGGCTCAGCTTTGACCGCTACTTGGCTATTGTTCGCCCTATAGCCAATGCCAAGCTGAGGTCAAAAGCTAGTGGGCTTCTAATGACCATTGTGCTCTGGACTATGGCGGCTCTCTTGGCCTTGCCAGCCATGATTTTCCGGAGGACTGGAGTATTCAATGGGAATGACAAAGTGACATGTTTCATGGATTATTCAAGTGTGGCAACCAACAAGACTGAGGCAGCCTGGGAAGCAGGGCTTGGCTTGTCCTCTACCCTGATGGGATTTGTAATCCCCTTTGCCATCATGCTGACTTGCTACTTCTTCATTGCCCGTACAATTGCAGGCCACTTCCGAAAGGAGCGCAGTGAAGGACTGAGGAAGCGGAAGCGCCTGCTAACCATTATCATTGTGCTTGTGACCACTTTTGCAATCTGCTGGCTCCCCTTCCACTTGGTGAAAACCATCTACATGCTAATGGACTGGGAGGTGATGCCGTTGTCCTGCAGCTTCCATGCCTTTCTGAGCAATCTCCACCCGTACTGCAGCTGCTTGGCCTATGTCAACAGCTGCCTCAATCCTTTTCTCTATGCCTTCTTTGATCCTCGTTTCCGACAAGCTTGTGCGGCTGTCCTCTGCTGCACATCAGGGCATTTGCCTGGAGCTGCAGGAGATAAATCAGCCAGCTATTCATCTGGTCATAGCCAGAACCATTTAGGGAAGAACATGGAAGGAGGGCAGGAGAAACAGTGTCCTGACAGCCAAGAGACTTTGCTTCATGGGTAAAAATGGAATAATGTCAAGCAGCCATGATAAACTTTGCATACAATGAGTCTCTCCTCTCTCTCTCTCTCTCTCTCTCTCTCTCTCTCTCCTTTTAATTTTTTCCCCTTGTGTCATTCTAGCATCAGATTTTCTTTCTTTTCTTAATGTTACATTTTTATTTTTTTAAATTGGTAAGTCTGTTTTAACAGACCTAGTATTCATCCCTCCCTTCTGTATTCTGCTTGGTTATCCACTGTAACAATGTCTATGTGATATATAGGGATTATGCTAGGAGGTGGAAAAAGTATTTCATCCTGTTCTGAAACACAATGCTGCATACACAGCTGGTGGTTCTTCTAATGAAATTTACATGGACTTTTAAATGGACTTGTAAAGGCTTGTGCTGGTTATTTGGTGTTTCAAGCCAGCTCTGTTGAACAGCTCCTGTTTAAGAAATGCTTCTGTCCTACACCCCAGATTTTCTTACTTTTTCTTATCATGCCACTTTGAGGCATGGTTCCTTGGCAACTTCAAATTCCTTCATTTTCCTTGTTCTATGGGAAGAAATGATTACAGCCCCAGGAATTTCGAGTTTTAATATTCACTATGATGGAGAACTGGCACCATGGACAGAAAACTTTAGTCTGCAAGCCTATTTCTTCCTATGTATGAAGACAGCTTCTTCAAACAGATAACAATTGTACTTTGTTCTTTGCTCTAACATCTGTCCTATCAAGTAAACTATTATTTTTTTAAAACAAAACAAAACACATGAATGGTTCAGCAGCAAAATCTAGCTTTCTCTTTCTTTCTTTCTTTCTTTCTTTCTTTCTTTCTTTCTTTCTTCTTTCTTCTTTCTTCTTTCTTTCTTTCTTCTCTCTTTCTTCCTTTCTTCTTTCTTTCTTTCTTTCTTTCTTTCTTTCTTTCTTTCTTTCTTTCTTTCTTTCTTTCTTTCTTTCTTTCTTCCTTTTTTTTTTGACAGTTCAGAGGGAGCTGGTTTCTCCCAGAATAAAATGTAATATTCTTGCTGCTTAATACACAATCTTAAGAGAGGTTGGGAAACAGCATCATGCTTGCATTGATAAAAATGTTTTCTTTGTAAGGATTGGGTCCATTACTCAACTTGCCTATACTTTATTCGCTTTATTCAATACTTTTATGTCATAAAAGTGCTGAATAAAGTTTTAAGTCATGCAGAAAAATGCTTTGAGTTTCTCTTAATGACTTCATTGAATTGATCTGCTGATTAAGATTTTTTAAAATATATACAGCTTTTAAAGGTGCATCCTTTATTATTAATAACTAAAAGGCAGTGTAAAACTGGACAAGAAGTTGTACATTTATACAGGCTTAATGATTTTTTAAAAAACAATCACAAATCCTTTTTACTGTAATCTTTTTTGTTGCAATTAAATTTGCAAGGAAGTGCTTCAAACTGAAAAGTGGTTTTGAACATTAAAATATTCTTTCTGAATTAAAAAAAGAATTAGGATATTCAAATGTGTTCATATCATCCTATTATTATTATTCCCTATATCATTTTTTTAGGTTCTAGAATTTATTCTGAATCTGAATTGCTGGGATAGACTTATAGGTTTAAAATGTTTACAATCTATTTGCCAGTTTTCTTTATACAAGATAAAACATTCTTATCAGTTAATAAAACACGGCTGGACATGTTATTTGCTCATCACTATGACATATACATGTGAAAGAATGAAGATATACATTTGCCAAGGACTGTTCCATTTTAGGGTAAAAATAAAAAGTTTAAAATTTAAATATACCCTTGAGAGTAAACACTGCCTTTCCAAATTTAGAAAATAGTATTTCATAAAAACATTTTCCCTGTCATGTTAGCTTTGTAGGCATATCGTAGGCTTTAAATGCAAGCAACTACAGTTAGAAGTGATATAGCCCAACCCCCCCCCCCCCCAATACTTCTTGATTCTGTTGAATTTATAAAATGACCTTGGGTGTGCTGTCTTACTCTTTTTAGCTTTCAACATAATATAAAATGATAGATTTTTAGATTCCTTATTTAGTGTGTTGAATGACTATTGACTGGGCCTAAAAGTACCAGAGAAGGAACAGAGTATAGGATCCTCACTGAGGGAGATGAATTCGCAGATAATTGCCTTTGAACTCCTCTGTTATGTACAGGTATGAATATGCATAATGCAAAACAAAAAGCTGGATAGTGTTTTTATTGTTTTGATTAATATACATGGGCTTCATTTTCAAAAATTCCTACATCATCTGCATTGTGATGGGAGCAAAACAGCTGGGGTGGATCTCAGGAAATTGACTGATAACTGATTCAGAACATGGATCCAGCTAGGCAGTATTGCCCACACTGAGTGGTGGCAACTGTCAAAGATTACAGCTGTGACTCTTTTCAGCCCGAGATGGAAATGTTGGGAACTCCAACTGGATCCTCTTGTAGGCAAAACATACTTTCTGCTACTGAGCTGCAATCTCTCACCTAACTTCTGAAGATGGTCAAAAAAAATAAAGAGCGTTTAACTGGAGAATTAAATAAAACCTCAATGAACGTGTACCTCAGAGTTTTTATTGAAAAGATTATGGTTTGAATGTTTTCCTTCCTTCCCTGTTTATTCTGTGAGGCAGAAGAAAAACTGACATACATATGCACATATGAAAGTCTTGGAGGGGAAGAAGGAGATGGAGAGGGTTGTCAGATCTTCTGCAACTCTGGTTATAAAACAGAATATTTCCCAGATTCATAAGGCCCTGTCTACTTATGATATATATCAATCTGTCAGGAACACAACTCAGGGAACCATTCTGAGTCCACATTAGAGCCCCAAAGTTAGAAACTAACATGTAAGCTTTGGAATTTCCAAAAATGTTTTGTCATGCGAGGTGATAAAGGACAAAGAAGAGAAGAAAAAAGTAGTTAAGGTTCATGGAAGAGGGATAATATTTAATTATTTCTGAGCTGAAACAGAGGAGATACATTGCAGACATTCAAATTTGATTCTGTCAAATGCTACCTGGCTTTCAGGTTGTACCTGAAAATATCCCATGGGTGGCTGAGAAGAAGATAATTAACAATGATAGATTTCTTCCTCCATTTGAAAATATAAAATACAGCTGTTAGAACTACATTTATCCTTAATTGAAATACATATTTCAATTCTGTGATTGATTGGAATTGTATACAGTGAATACACAAAATATGTTTATTGTTTTTTTTACAGGGTGAACTACCTTGAAAATATGCTAATGCTGAAAATTTGAAATGTGCATCTTATCAAGGGTAATGAGATAAGGAAACTATCCAGAACAGATATACATATGGGTTGAATGGATGAGCAAATGGGGAAGACAGAAGAACCATTAAGTCAGAGGAAATTATATAATGTCAGGGATGAAATGACAAATATTGTTCTACAGCATGATGCAAACTCCTTTTTGTAGCTCTCCAGAAGATTCTTGGGCTAAAGAAGAATTCATCCCTTACATATAGGGGTGTGTGAAGTGGGCTGCTGACATCTTCTACTCCAGGGATGGGCAATTATGGCCTCTTTATAACATGTGGACTTCAGCTCCCAGAATTCCTGAACCAGCCATGTTGGCTCATGGGGGTTGAAGTCTATAGGTTGTAAAGAGGCCATAGTTACCCACTCCTACTCTAATCTGTAATGTTTTAACAAACAAATTCACCTAACTTTGCACAGTCCCCGGCCTGCTTTGCCAGATTTGCAATAAGTGAGGGGGGGGGGGCTGTAGCCAGACTGAGAAAGATTCAGGCCACAGGGTTTGATAGCACATCTCAACACTGAATAGGAATAAAGTCTGGAGATTATGAAAGCTTGTTTTGTTTCAAGTCAGTTTTCTTTATTTTTTCTTAAGGTATGCTCTAGTGCAGGGGTAGGCAACCTTGGCTCTTTTATGACTCGTGGACTTCAACTCCCATAATTCCTGAGCCAGCCAAGGTTGCCTACCCCTGCTCTAGTGGGACCAAGTTAGGCTTAGATAGTAAGAATCATGAGGTGATTTGGGCATTTAAGCACGTTCCTGCATTATTAGAGTGCTAAAGGTTTTGTTTTTAATAAATAAATGTGTCACCCAAACCTACCATGTCTTGTCACTCTATTTGCTGGGAGGTTTCTAATGAGCCTTTCTCTCTAGTCTCCCCACTGTGCCCATTTTGAAAATTAAGAGGGCCAAATGGTGAAGAAGGTGCCAACCCCCTGGTTCATTTAAGTGGTGGGATTGTGTTAAGCCAACTGTGATTGTGGGAAATCTGGATGTAGAGCTGACAAAAGAAAACTAATTTCATCTCCTTTGCAAGTTCATTCCTTTCATGGGATAGGATCACTGAAAAGAACATCAAAGAAGCTTCCCAACCTCAAAAACAACCCTCCAAAGGTTTTTTTTTTTTTTTTTGCTTTAGTTTCTTCCTTGGGAAAAATCCTATCAGAAGCCATTTCCTCCAATAGGATCTATCTGTAAGAATCCCTTAGTTATCTGAAATCTGATACTGATATTGATCTGATAACTATAATAATAATAATAATAATAATAATAATAATAATAATAATAATAATAATACCGTAATAATAATAATAATAATAATAATAATAATAATAATAATAATAATAATAATAATAATAATAATAATAACGTTGGAAGGGACCTTGGAGGTCATCTAGTCCAACCCCCTGCTCAGGCAGGAAACCCTATACCATTTCAGACAAATGGCTGTCCAGTCTCTTCTTAAAATCTTCCAGAGCATTGGAGCATTCACAGCTTCTGGAGGCAGGTTGTTCCACTGGTTAATGGTTCTAACTGTCAGGAAGTTTCTCCTTAGTTCTAGGTTGCTTCTCTCCTTGATTAGTTTCCATCCGTTGCTTCTTGTCCTGCCTTCAGGTGCCTTGGAAAATAGCTTGACTCCCTCTTCTGTGTGGCAGCCCCTGAGATATTGTAACACTGCTATCATGTCCCCCCTCGTCCTTCTCTTCATTAAACTAGACATACCCAATTCCAGCAGCCTTTC